CCAGCCACGTGTGGCTCCTCAGCCCTCCAGCCTCCCAGCAGCTGTGGAGGGTCTCCCCGTGCCAGGCTGAAGGGGAACGTTGCCCTGCCAGGGTCTGAGGGCTCCTCACCGTTTGGGAACTGTGTGGAGGCAAACCTGGTCAGCAGAATGCCAGCCCCTTCGATTAAAGCCAGGAGAATTCCTCCCATGGCAGCCGAGCCGACCATGGCCACGGGCCCATCTGGAAAGAAAAAGCACAAAATCGATGGGTTTTGACTTCTTTAGGTGGCTTTGTGCATTGAACTCTCTTCTGAGTTATCATCCCCTCCCACGAGCAGCCTCAGGAGCAGTCATTCTGCACCCATCACGCCTCGTTAGCATCAGCAGTAAGAGGATAATTAGTGGGCAGCCCCTCCTCCTCTTCCTCAAGGAAACAAAGGAACGTTGGTAATGTCTCAGAACTTAATTATGACTTTCATCAGCACAGGAGAAATCTTTCAGATTGTCTTTCAGTCTGCCTGAGCAAATAAATCCCACCGTGGGCATCACAGAGGGGGGGTTCACCCTCAGGACAATATGTTTAGAATAAAGAAGTTTTTCCCTCAATATCCTCCTCAGTTTCTTACTTCTTGCAGCTAAAATGGCTCCGGTCAGGGCTCCACTGGTGATGGAATTCCAGGGATCTTCCTTCCCTCTCATCCTGACCATGCTGCAGTCGATCATGGAGAAGAGACCCCCCCAGACAGCAAAGCTCCCTGTCCAAAAACCAGCAAAAAAACAGTTCAGAGGAAGCAGAGGAACCAGCCGTGGTCAAACCCAGCTTCAAATCCAGTCCCCAGCAGAGACAGCAGCCAGGCTGAGTGCAAATGCCAAAGTCTTTTCATGGTAACATGCATTATAAATGAAAAGAAATCTTGATCTATTACTATTTAGAGCAATTTCAGCCCTCTGAGGTGCCTTACTGCCTGCTGAGGGATTGCCCTGGGCTGCCCAGGGAGGTGCTGGAGCCACCAGCCTCGGAGGGGTTCAGAGGATGTGTGGATGTGACACTTGGGGACATGGTTTAGTGGCCAGGGGAGTGTTGGGTTGATGGTTGGACTTGATGATCTTAGAGGTCTTTTCCAGCCTTAAGGACTCCCTGATTAATGCCTCCCACCAGGCCCAGGGGTGGGACTCCTCCCCCTGCCCAGGCCTCTGCAGCAGGAGCTCTGGCCAGGCTCAGCAGCCACATTTCAGCTCCATGTGCCTGTGAGGGGAGCAGGCAGGGTGACCCCAGTGTGCCACTCAACAGGGCAGCTGGACTCAAGCTGCACCTCTGTGGCTTCTTCACCTTTACACACAAAATTCACCTCACAGAACTGATGGAAATTCACCCAGCTGAGCCCAGG